TTGTATTCTCAAAACTCAACTTCTATGATTCAAATTTTTATAATACTGAAATACCATAAATGAGCAACATTTTTATGCTACATGTGGTACATAGTAATTTAAATACCCATTAAAATTCCTAGATACATTAATAGAAATAAATTCATCTATAATAACTCTAAATTCGTGTAGATCAAGATTCATCAAGTCAAGATTCATTGAATGTAGATTAATGTGAATGTTAATTAATTGAAAATTAATAAAACGAAATTCATACATGACAAGAATTTTGAGTATTTAATACATATTGAAAAACGAAAAATAAGGTATTATTGAAATAATTAATTGTAGTAGGGTTAAAATCGTCCAAAAAATTATTCTCACTTGATGTAATATTTAATATATAAGAATTAATTGTTAATACATGAATTTAAACACCCATTAAAATTCCTAGATACATAAATAGAAATAAATTAATCTATAATAACTCTAAATTCATGTAGATCAAGATTCATCAAGTCTAGATTCATTAAGTCTAGATTAATGTGAATGTTAATTAATTGAGAATTAATAAAACGAAATTCATACATGACAAGGATTTTGTAGTATTTATTACATACTAAAAAACAAAAAATAAAGCATTATTGAAATAATTGAATTTTAGTAAGGTTAAAATCATCCAAAAAATGATTCTCATATATATTTAATATATTATTATATTATTATTATTATAGATGTGTAAAGTGAGAATAGCAAAAGAAGGTTTTCTTAACTTGTAGGTTGAGTCCAGGCACCTCATATTCTAAACAGACGAATGAGAAAACATGTGTTCAAGTTTAGGCGATGGTTGTGTTGTCTATTTTGGTTGCAACTCTACAGCTGTGTACATGAATGAGTTGTCATCAGCATCATGGTTTAAAAAACGTTTTGAGGTGTAATTAAGGCTATCATAAAATGTATCAAACCCACACCTTATATGCCATGTGAAAGGTTTACGCCTCAAGCCAACTAAGGTGTTCCCAAGCTTGCCTATTATTTTACAAACATTTTTTTTTTATTGGCCTTAGCCTTTGAGTTATTTCTTTAAAACCTAAAATGTTTTACGATTTTTTTTCTTCTACCTAGATGGCAGAAAAATGGAAGTAGAATACCCCTTTTCAATTGGAGGAAAAAAAAACACCTTAAACTTGTAATGAACATTGACAATGGTCTAATTGATTCCTTTAAGTGTAGTGATGATATAAGGAAATTTTTAGTTGTCTCCACTTTCAAGAATAGATTAAACTTTTGTTAGATGATTGCCAATTTGAAAACTTATCATGTTCTTTTTTTTCTTTTATCTATTTTATGTTGGTTTGCAAGTTAAACTTTTAATATGTTAAATAATTCCATTATATTGAAAACTCATTTTTAACCACACATTCTTCCATTAAAATAATTTTGCACGTAAAACACAATTTTTTCTACTTTTTAACCATGCATTCTTAAAAAAAAATAATAATAACTATTACAAAGCTCATTTTTCACAAAAATGGGGCTCAAACAAAACCTTAGTTTCATTATGGATTTTTTTTTAAAAGGTTTATGGTATATTATAAGCATATTTTTTTATTTTCATATTCATATTCATTTGAATTTATTTATTGTTCTATATTTAAGTTTACGCCTCAAGGCTTTTTTATGACGGGAACACAATTAAACAAGAATAAGATTGAGAGGAGAAAAGAAAAGAAGAGAAGAGAGAGAAAGAGAAGAAGAGGAAGAGAAAAGCAGACAATTTAGAAAGATATTATATCAATTTATTTCATATTAAAGTTGTGCCTTACAAATCATAAGCCCCTTTATATAAAGTTTAAACTAGTCTAATTTAGTTAAGAAACATCGAATCCAATACTGGAGAATCTATCAAATTTAGGTAAAAAAAATCTAACAAAATTCTCAAAATCTAAAACTCTAATTACGTAGCTAATTTGCTCCCCGACCGAAAAAACTTGACTCCAACGAGATAGGCTGCAATTTCTAAGCAAAGGAGTGTGAACTTTCTTCCTACCCAAATAACGAAACTGACCATACGACGACAACCAAATCTATAAATCATCCATATTTTGACCAAGGGGGAATATCTTTCCTTTTAACCAAATAGCGACGGGAACTCCAAAAAGCAACATATGTAACTCATCCACAAGAACTATTACGGTATTCACGTGAGAACGACGCACAAGAACGGTTAACCGAGCAATACCTATGGCTTGAATGTGAACACCTACGAGTAAACAATTTTGCTATATTGAAAACAAAACTTTCATGGATGAACTGCACGGCCCGCCGGTCAGGCGCGTCTGCCGGATCTGTATACGGATGCTTGTAGATCTATGTTTTGGTCCCAAATTTCATGATGCCATCGCCTGATGTCCTCGAGACGGCCTAGGCACCGGAGCGAGCGGCAACGCTAGGGTCCCCACCTAGGGCCACCGCCTTTGAAAGTGGGTAAATATGTGGTGTGGGGCCGGTAGGGTTAGGTTTTTCTGTCACTGACTTCTCGCCATCAACAGCGTCGGCCGGTAAGGGTGGTTGTTGGGTGGAGAGTGGCTGGGTAAGTGAAGGTTGGGTGTTTTTGGATTTTAGGGAAAGGGGCTCCATAAGCGACCTCAGAGAGAGTCTACTGTTCAGATCGCTGAGTTCCTCTCATGGCCTAAAACAACGTTTAATTCAAATTACATATGTTTATATTAGATTAAATAAGTTTTAATATTTTGATAAAATTCTATTTTAATAAAAGTTAGTTTATTTTTACCTTCTTTTAGATTATTTGCTCTGTAAATAAAGTATTTATTCAGTGTAATTGACAATTTTAAATTATATGAATAAATTGATTTCTTCTTCTGCCTTCAATTCTTCTCTTCTTCGCACCCTTTGTTTTCTTATTCTTCACTATCAAATATACGTTCCTACATAACAAGTATTAGCTCAAACAATATAACCAAAAAAGTAATAGAAGTCATCATGAGAGTTATTTCCTATCACTAAGGATGATCACCATAATTATGAAACTTGAGAGTATTAATCAAGAGAACATGGCGGGCATATAACTATAAAATATCAGGCACATAATAACAAAGATTAGAACATGTTGTGCATTACCTAATAAGTGATACCACCACATATCAATAGAAAGTGAGAGTCACTAGAGACTCAATGTGAGTATGATATAACATTGCATATAGTGATATACAAAAGTCACCTTGAATTGTTGATGCAATCTCATATGGAGGAGGGTTTAGCAGAAGATCTCTAACATACCTATGCGAACAGCAAACAAAAAGTAAAGAAACCAAATGGCATAACTAGCTTATCAATAACCAAAACTAATATTGAGGTACTTCGTGTAAGAACAAAATAAGTAACAAGACAAAAAAAATCGACCAATAAAAGTGGACTTATGGACCATAAGACAGGAATACGGCAGAGGATGGTATTATTTCTGTTACGCTATCACAGAGGAAATATCCCATAGAACAACTTATAGAAGCAGGATGAGCACTAACATAATTAAGGTTCATTTGCGCCCCCAGAACAAAGCCAACTCAGGCAGTTTACATCAATAAAATTGCACTGACAGTCACTAGCAAACCTTGGAAAACAGTATTCCTAGGAAGTTCCTTATTAGTTGTGGTCTTGGTCTTAAATCTTAAAGACCAAAAAATGTGATTTAACAAATATGTTCAAAATATTCCAACGAGTTATTTCTACCAGCAACCAACACTTCCGCACCTTTTTGATTGGCCATTTACAGCCTTTGTACCAAAAAGAAGACAAACAGGACAAAGTCAAAAAAATTATAACATTTAAAGCACCAAACAACCAAAATACCATCTAACTAGAAAGCCTAACCACATGAGCAAGAACCATTACCATTAAAAAGGGAAATTACTGAAGTTTTAGAAAACATAAAAGATGCGTTCTGGAAACTGAATTACTTAATTTGTCTGAAAGAAAGTACAGTTGCTGAAAAATCATTGGTAGTTTAAAAGAAATACTGGCCCTTTGTGAGAAAATTATAGTGTTATAATTCAATCATGACAATAAAGAATTCATATCTGGATCTGATTGGTTTAGAAGTTATGATAGTAAACTAAGAGAGTAGGTGGGTGCGATGTGGACGAGCATGATGATGTTGTCTGAATTACTAGTTACCATTAATATATAGGTACAATATTACAATAGGTATATATATAGCATGAGGACAGATGTGCGTGTATAAAAAGCCTGAAGACCCATATGATAGTTATTGCTTACAGAACAGGGAGACCGGTACAATTCGATGGAAGCAGCACTTTGAGCAGACATGGTATTCCTTCAGTTGGTAGAGCACCTGAAATGACACCACAAGAAAAATGCATTAGTTTAACTGACATAGCACCAGATGATGCTCCCTATACTGAACTTTTTATATTAGAAATTAGGGAAACATGCAGAGGTCCACAACCTACTGAAATTCTGGAGTCGAATCCCCAACCTTTTTTGGCAGTGGGGTCCTAACTTTCAAGTTTGTAGCACCATAGTCAGTCTACATTCATGCTGACATTAAAAGTCATCTGACCCTACTTGGCCCATCGTTGGCGAGGTAGAAAGGCTGAAAACTGAGTATCTCAGAAAAAAATATAAAAAAGGAACAAAAATGATTCCTCGTCCCAACCTTGTCTATTTTTCCTCCCATTCATCATTTTCCACGTCCCCAACTCCCTCCCACCTGTGATGAGCAGTTTTGCGGTAGGGGGGTGGTAATTGATTGGGTGGGAGGAGCATGCTGTTTCAAATTTTAAATTTTAAATTTTATTTTCTTATTTTATTTTATATTTATATTTAATTGAAAATAAGAGTATAATCTTGTATTTAATAAAAGTCTTGACTTTTTAATGGTCAAACTGCTGGATACTCTACACTCAGAACCCAAATGCCACAAAAATGAAAGGTTCAAGATTCAAGTGCAAAGAAATAAAACCATTGTTGGCAACCTTCGTAGCAATTCTCCCAAAATATGTTATGGTATGTTTTTCAAAATCAGGACCATCGATTATATTTTTTACCGTGTATAGCATTAAATTTCAAATTTTTACTTTCCAGAAACTAATTAATACAGTGCATTTTCAATGCAATGACAACAGAAGTCAAGCATTTGATGTACAGAACACGAACATGTCCAAACCGTCAACAATTTTGGCTTACCAATTTGGGTGGCTGTCCCAAGGTGTAAAGGACGGGGTCTATCTTCTGAAGTAACAGTGACATTTCGGAATGTAACATCATCTTCAAGGCCATAAAGCTCTTTCACCTGAATTTGCACAAGTTAAATTGTGTCAGCAGTGATAAAGACATGCCAGGAACAAGATTCCTGGTGAAAGACACAAGATCATTATGCTGCAACCTTAAACAAAAGTGCATTCACTGGATTTCCTTCAAACCATTCGAATTGTCTAGAATTGCATTCTCCCCATAACAGCCCACCTTCACCAAACTCTCTCCAGCGACAAGTTCCTGCAGAAGAGTCTTTATAATTGTGAACAATCAAATAACAGGAATTACTAGTTACAGAAGAAGATCAACAGCTCTATATCATATACAAAATTACTGCTATAATCAATGTCATAGAAAGTAGGCACATTATTTAATACTAATAATTCTGGATATATCTGAAATTGGTCTACGACTCTACTGAGCATATATAGACTTAGTTAACTGGTACAACATGGAATAAGTCTTCAGCTTTTGCAAATGCCAGAATCCAGATTACAAGCATCATTGTTCTAGAATATAATGAGTAAACGATGCATTCCACATGCACTGATCATTGTATTTCGTCCAAAACTGAGTATCACAAGAGCCTTCTATCTGGCAATAAAAATTAGATATTACATGGCTTAGGCACTTTCTTCTATTGTAGCCTTCCTTAAGGATTATTAGCGACATGATTCATGAACAGAGAGGAGAAATGGAAACTATAACAATCCCAGAATTGTCTGAATGTCATCAACGTTTTAGAAGTCGAACTGAGATCCAGTAAGTCATCACTTACTAAACAAACTTCATATAGCATCATACCTACCCAATGGATAAGTTAAATTGACTGGCTGCAGTAGCCCTTTCAGCAAATGCTAGCAAATTCTAAGCTATATAAATAGAAGACAAAAGTCCAGGATTCTCAACAATTATATAGAAAATGTGCAGACAACTTCTAAATATGCTATCTACTGGCTATTGCTACCCAGAAGTGTATTAATTGTCAGAGCAACGTACCATTACATTGTTTAAAGACAAGAAGTGTGTCATAGTGCCTCCAACCAGCAGAAATACAGCAAGAAAAGATAGTTAAGGCATCAATATAGTCAGACAGCAAAAAAAGGTGAACTAATGGAAAACGTTATCTATATACGTCTAGCATATTTCCATTTTTTGAATTTTCTGTTAACGAGGAATATCATGAAGCTTTGACTGGAAAGACAAATTGGTAAAAACTTTGGCTCTATTTGAGCCCCATTTTTTGTGAAATAGATTTCGTCATAGTGATTTTTTTGGAGAATGTGTGTTTAAACAGTAGGGAAAAGTTTTGTGTTTAGGTGTGAAATTATTTTATCAGAAAATGTATAGTTGAAAATGAATTTGGGGAAAAATGAGTTTCTGGAGAATAGGGCTCAAACAGGGGCTTTATCTTTCTTTCACATTTAGCCTCAAGCCGTGCCCAATGAACCTTGGCGAGTTTAGTCCTAATGGACTAAAGGACAAAAAGGGGACTCCTTCATGGCATGCGGACTATATTCACAATCAACAAATAAGTGGTGAATTGTTTCAACCTGCGCATCTTGACATAATGTGTATTCCATGAAGCACATGAAATCATCTAAAGAGGCAATCAGAGATCTCCACCAATTTAAGGTTTCAGTTACTAAGTATTACTTTCCACAATGAGCATGTGCAGAAGTCCTCACAAACCTGAAGAATTGTTCTTTAATGACGAATGCAGGAACAAATGATGGCATTGACAACTACGAATCTTAGTAACTAGAGCTTCTTCTGTTAGACCATCCTCTGCAGAATAAGTCTTCATAGTCTCCAGCACTGAAATCATGCAGTATCCCTTGGCCGAACGAGATATACCTTGGGTCATGGAGTCAAGATTAGCGACACAGAAACTTGAGTTTAACAGTATTACAGAAAATAAATTATAATAAGAAAGAAAATTTAGTAAATCAGAAATTCAATATAGTTGTATCTTAATAAATTTACTAAACTACCCTGCATAGTTTTGCTTTGCTCATACCAACTACAGGCATTGGCTCTGGAAAGTCGAGGTCATGATCATCTCCAACAAGCCCAAAGACATAAGGACTACCCGGATGTGCATGTCTGAAAAGTAATGTCAAGTCAGAACAGGATATGCACATTAAACTATGATGAGACAAGAATCCTGGTCAATGTTCTCTAGAAAGGCCAGAATATGTTACACTAGTGAGCCAATTTATAATTTAAAGTCTAGCATACGCAAATGTGGAAAGAAAAAATGAAACATAAATTGAACCAACACTGTCTCACAAATGCAGAAGCAAGAAATAAATGACACAGAACAGAAAACTAGCCACAAAATAAATAAATAAATAA